ACTTAAATTGGAATTTGAATTTGAGTCAAAATTGGACTACAGGATAAAGGATGATTTTTCTCTTCCTTCCCTATCTGCAAATTGGCGCCACACAGGGATGAAAATCCCCTAGAATGGCCAGCCATAAGGAATAGAGGAAAAGATGATATTTTGTTCAAAATTCAAATAGGAGATAATTGACAAGCTTTATCTTGGAGATAGAGATTGGATTCCTTCTAGAAGATTGACTTCTACTCTATAAATAAGAGAATGGGAGACAATTTTCGGAATGGATTTTTGCCCTAATTTTAGAGGTGGCCGAAATTTCTCTATAGAAAGAAGGAAACATTTTTCTCCAAAAAATTCCACATCGTGCATGCGTTAGTGTTTGTGGAAATTTAAGTGTTTATTGTAACCCGTTTTGTCTCATGTGTGCCCACACACACGTCTTCGTGGATTCTAGGAATTGACGTGGAAGACATTGGTTTTCTAAACACAAAGCTTTGGAGCAAGGATTGTTCGAGGTCAAAGAACTCAAGTTATTATCCGAGTCGGCCTCTAGGTATTTTTCATTTGTTTGAATTAGATATTCATTATTATTTGTGTCGAGGCAAGTCTAAATCGAGAGATACGTGCCGAGGCAAGCTCGACATTATCATTTGTTTGAATTAGATATTCATTATTTGTGTCGATAAATTCTACGTCCATTTGTGGAACGATACGACACATGTTGATTTGACCGTGATCATTTTTTAGTGACTTTTTTATTATCCATATGTTAATTACAATATAAAATTATTTCAGCAATCTAAAAGAAAAAGTAAATGTGTTTGCCTAAATAATCTTTTTGCAATTAACAATGAAATATTAAAATTGGTAATAAATAGTTAGGCAACTAATTCTGTAATAACATTCAACTCATTTTATTGTTGCATGTATTAAGAATCTCTTAGTAACTAAGTTAACTAATAAACTTATTATATTACATATTTGTAACTATGATTTAGTTCAAGTAAAATAATACAAAAACATGTATAATGATTATATATTTACAATGGTAAAAATATGAAATTAAGAATGCTGAGTATAATTATATAAAAACAGATTAATAAAATAGAAAAATACATAAATGAAATTTATATACAAACAATGGAATAAATATAAAGCTTCATGTGCTATAGCTGCTTCCTTTACAAATGAACAAACAAATTAAAAGTTCTCCACAACAAAATCTGATTATAAAATTTTATAGGAAGAGAAAAAAGAAGTTAAAAAATCGAGAAAAAGATAAATAAGTGAATTAATAAGTAAGTATTTTATAGTAATATCTTTATAAAGTAACTGTGGTGTAGATATTCAATATTCTTGTGATTAATATAATTGATTTATAATTGTGACTATCTTGTGGCTGCCTATTGAAATATTTTTCATAAAATGAAAAACATTAATGGTAACAGCACAAAAGTATAAAAATTAATAAGGTATTATATCCGTCGCATACATTATAATGTCTCTACAATACAAAATATATAATTAGAGTAAAATATAAAATTATTCAGAAACTACCAGGTGACTTAAAATAAAAGGGGAAAACAGAGTATAAAAAGAAAAGAAAAAAATAAACAGAAAAAGTAATAAGTAGATAAAAAATAAGATAGTTACTCAAATAGTATTAAAAAACCAGACACAGTGAAGGTATCAAGGACCCAATAAAAGCTGCAGTCTCATTTGCATTAAAATGACCCCAAAAAAAAAAGCCGAAGCCAAGAACAAATAAAAAGGTTAAAAACTGAAAACAAAAATGTATAATTAGACTATAAAACAGAAACACACCCAAAAGCCCCTGTGCAGGAAAAAAACTGAGATTTTTTCCTATATTTAATACTCAGTATAAAAATAAAATGGCAAAATGTACAAATCAAATTCTCGCAATATAAAAGAAAGGCTAATGTGTGAATGAACAAATATTGAAAACAATAGTAAAATCTAAAACAATTGAAGTTCTATTCTTTCTATATTAGAAATCAGAATCAAAATGACATAAGTAAAATAATCAAAAAAATATTAGTAAAGGAAGATAGATAAACTCCGAGTGTAAGTAAGATAAACATCTAAGAAACAAAGAAAAAAAAACATACTATAAAGACAAATAAACTTTGATTTGAATAGAAAAAAACAAAAAGAATAAAAAATCTAAAATAAGCCGTGAACAAAATAAAACAAAGAATAGTCATCAAAGTTTTCCTTTTTATAACATAAAAGAAAAGGCCGAAAAAAAATTCATCAAAAAGAGATAGATAGTGTTGACGGTGGAATTAAGACATTACTGAATTACTCCGCAGTAGCCTGCTGGGTTATTGGTTTGGAACTTATAATTTTACTGAATATGCTAGAATTTATATTAGGGTTTAGGATAGGTTGTGAAGTAAGTAAGATAATGCTTATGAAAGTAAGAACGCACAGGAATTTTATAGTGGTTCACCCTTCTCAACAAGAGCTACATCCACTGTATTATATTTCTCTTGTCTTTGTTCTTACAAGTTACATATGCATAAGGAAAAAAATATATCCTCCTCTCTCTCGGGGGCTCTTCCCCTTTTATAGTGGATATTGCATGAGTCTCTACCCAATGGTAGGAGGTTTGGACCATTTGACCGTGTCTTTCATAGGGTCCGCCCACTCGAGTGGCCTATGGCCTCTTTTGTTTAGACCGTAGCCTACCATTACCTTTTGGACTGTTCACTCATCCAATTTGTCCCCCCATTACGGCTCTGTAGATCCCCTGTAATAGCTAGTGATCCGTTTTAGGCGATTTTAGGGGCTTGTAATCATTTCCTATGCAACTGATCTTCTCCAAACCCAGACGCAACCTTGGGATATTCGGCTGGTCTTCTCAGGAATCTTCCTTGGGATGTGGATCCAATTGCTTGTGCTCTGCCGTCTGCGCCTATGCTAACATCTGCCGAGGGTAGCCTCTCTCACGGCCGACTTTATCGCGTTATTTTGCCCGGACTGGTCTCGCAGACCTCGACTGTGTATAGGGTCGACGGTCTCGGTCTCCTTATACATTCGGCTCTCCTGTCATACAGGAGAGACTAATGAGACTCGGGCATCGAGGGCTAAATGACGTGACAGGCATGGAGTCACGTGTGGCCTGATTATTGTCTGACGTGTCAATATGAATTTTCCCACACAGCAGATAGTATCCGAACTCAAACTGAAATGAATTATAAGTCAATCATTTTTAGCAATAAATAAGTAAATCAACAAAAGACGAATCAAAATAAGTAAAAACAAAAAACAAAATACTAAGAGTCAGAAAATTTGTATAAAAAAGAATAGACAAAATCAGAGTCCGAATGAAATAGACATATTATACATATGAGCTCACTTACAGAGCGCATGAAATCAGTCCCAGCGAAGATAGAACTATCCAGATAGAAGCCTCTTTTTGGGCAGAAGAATGGAGTAAAGCCAGAAGTAAAGAATCATAAAAATAAAAAATAAAAAATAAAAAAATTTTAAGGCCTATCTGGTAGCCTATAGAAAATTACAATAAACCTTAACGTTTTCCCAAAAATTTGAACACATCATGCACAAAAGAACACAAGCCAACAAAAAAAAAAAAAAAAAAAAAAAAAAAAAAAAAAGGGGGAGGGGGCCAAAAAATCACAGAACATGAATTCAGCCAAAAACAGACAAAAAACAAAACAAAAATGCGAATAAAAAAAAAGAAATAACAAAACCAAAAAGAACAAAGAAACCCTTTACCAAAACCGCAGAAAAAATCAGAGCAAAATCAGAAATCAAAACAACTGAGGAACCCAGAAGGAAGAACAGATGGAAGCCCAGTGTTTGTGCCGAAATGAAATGAAAAACGCGAAGAGGATCACAACATCAAAAAAAGGATCTAAGGTTTTTACAAAAAATTAGATTCAAAAAGCAAAGAGAGGTGGAGATAAGGTTGACAATCTGAGTAGCGACACGATTACACAATTCGAAATCCGCATGAAGTTAATGGGTTTAAGTTTACTATAAATAAGTTTATGTCACAATCGGGTTGACACGATTAATACGATTAATAAATGAATTGGGTTAGGATTGATCTCCTAACAGGAAGTGACATAAATTGACACGATTAACTATGTGTCATTTACAATCTAATTATATGTGATATAACATGAAAGTTTATATGACAAATTAAATACAAATAATGTAAATTTTAATATTTATAGGTAAAATTCATTTATTTTTCTTAAAGAAAAAGATAAATTGACCAATAAATATGTTAAACATGTCTTGATCGTATTAAATAAGTCATTATTACATTAGTTATTTATTCTATATATTAATTTAAACGGATTATATGAGTTGACACGATTAACACAATTAATAAATAAATCGTGTTTAAATTAATTTTTTTTACACATTTAATAAACATATCATGTTTATATTTTTTGGAGACAATGAGAGGCCATCCAAGGAAGACAAGGTCTAGGACTTTCATGCCCAATGAAATTATGGAAAAGCCCAACAGGCAAACAAATAAAAGAATGAAGAAATGAGGACAAATCGGTAAAATCAAACCATGAAGCCTAAAAAGACCTTAAAGTCCCCGACCAGAAGAAAAAGAAAGGAAAGTAAAAAAGGGTGAAAATGCCACTTCACTCTTCAGTCTACAGTAAATTCTGCCTCTCCTTTAGTATATTTATAATATTAGAAATCTTCTTTTTTAGCTCTTAAGGTGGTTTTTTACTAATAAATTTCCCCTTGGAACAAAAACTAGGAGGACATTTTCGTAACAACACTTTCAACTGTCATCCTCGTCCGTGTCATAGCTGACTCCCTGTCCAGACAATGGAAAACGCGCATGAAGGAGACCGGAATAGCCGGTAAAAAAGTAATTAAAAAGCGCATAATGGAGCCCACACGTCTCTCTAGCGATCACCGCCACGTGTCCACTCTTATCCTTTTCCTCCACTTTCGCTCGCCTCCCCTACCCTAACCCCATAAATAGGCGGCCCAACTGTAACTCATCCCCTCCAATACCTCTATCTTCCATTTTCTCTCTCTAAAAACCAAAATCCCCTTTCTCTTTCTCTCTCTAAAAATGGCGACAAATCTGCTTCACTTTCGACCCTCCCTCGTCCGATCCTGCGCGATCCCGAACCCTAAGTCCGATCACGCTCGCCGGAAAACCTCCTCGTCCTCCTCAGCCAGTTGGTGGACCCCGCTCTTCGGATGGTCGTCGGAACCGGACTACATTGACGCCGACGGTAGAGCGGATTCGCCGGAGAAATCTGACGGCGGATCGGAGCCTTCCAGATCCTCGCGCTTCGCTCCCGGATGCTTCACGGAGGAGAAGGCGAAGCGGCTCAGGATGCTGACGAAGGAAACGGCTTCGTTTCACGATGTCATGTATCACTCGGCGATCGCCTCGAGGCTCGCCTTCGACTTCAAGAACGGCTCCGATCTGTGAGTTCCGGCACCGGCGCAGCCTTAGTTTTTTTTTTTTTTTGGGTGGGGGTGGTTTTGTGGATAAGTAAATTCGTTCCCGAGAAATTAGGAGTTGAAAATGACGTATTCGTGTTAAATTTGATTCCGTGGGCTGTAGAAATTAGGGTGTATATAGAGAAGTGTATATATACATAAATATGTGCTAGTGACGCTGCTTTGTATTGAGCTCAATAATTGTGATTTGTGAAACAACATTAATGGATTATGCGATGTGGCTGAGTTTGATTGATGCCTAATTACTGTTGTTTGTTCTTATCCCCATGACTTGTTGGAATTAATGTACTTTGGAGTAAAATTAACGTATAATCATCTTCTGGGTCCCACAGAGTGCGTAAGCCTGGACGGTGCATTTGTTTATTTTCTTTTTTATTTTCAGAAATTACATAGTAAACTGCAGATTTTTGAAATCATTTGAAATTTTAATAAAATAGCTAATAGTTGCTCATACGATGACCCTTTCTTGAAATTTTTTAAACCCAAATTTCATATCTAATGTGTTCCGAGTATTTTTATTATTTTTTAACTCTCACAAAGTATGCTGTTAAAATCATTTTAAAAAAAATGCTGTTAAAATTATTCTAAACAAATATGCTAGTTGACTCATTCTCTCTCCCTCTCTCTCTTTTTTTTTGGGGTTTTTTTTTTTTTTTTTGGTTATTTCATTTGACAATATATGTTTGGGACTATGGAGGGAAGGTTAAGATTAATGGTCTGTAAGAGTGGGATTTGGCTTTGGATTGTGTGTGGTGGTGGATACGTAAATCTAGCAAGTGGGTGTTGGTTATTTGGGTCATTGGTTGGTATGATTATGGTATGTTTGGATATTCCTTAAGATCCTCGATCGAACTTTTCTACCGTCATCAAGTATCCCAACTGGAATATACCCACGTACTATGACGATATTTATGTAAAAGTTTACTATTCATGAGTATATCCTTCCCAATTCTTTTAATAGGTTCAAATTAATGCTTAATAGACTAAACAGTTCAAACCATTAATAAGTAAGGGTGAATATCGGACGAAAACCGACATTTTTAATCAAATCGACTACAACACTCAATTTTAAATGGTTAATTTACGGTCGGTTTTCTCTTGTTAAAAAAAATTTACATGTTCTTTTTTTCAAAATTTTAACTACTTTCGTAATTAGAATTCTAAAAAAAACATATTTTAAACTAAAAATGAAAAAGCTTATAATTATAAGCCTTCATTTTTAAGCTTTACAATTGAACATGCTACAATAAAAAACTTTAACTATGTTTTTGTTCTAAATTTTAACCACTAATAGTAGTCAAATTTAAAAAAAAAAAAAAAGAAAAGGTTTTTAAAGCATTATAATTATAAAACCTTAAAATATACAAAAGTAAAATCAGAAAAAGCTTTATCTTTGCTTTGTATGCTTAAGCTGGCGTCGTTTCTTATATATGGAGTGGGAGGAGAGAATTGTTGGTGTGTTGTCCATGTCGGACTTCCTAAAATCTGTCATTTAGAAGTTTTGAAACCCCAAAATACGTGATAAATATATACGAAACACGGAGTTTCTACTAAAATCCGCGTGGCGTAGTAGTTTCTGAGGTTGAGGGTTTGACTCTAACTTCTCAGTGCAATACCTAATTTTTTCCTTCTAGGTGGTCGGTTTGGTTCGGTTTTAACCGACCACTTATGACTGAAACTGAGAACAAAGATCGGTTTTGGCTCGACTTTTCCCTCTAAATCACAATCTAATTCGGATTTTATTTTTTCTCTCTCCTCAATTTTAAATTTAAGAATGTAATTATTTCTTCGTTTTAATTCTTATTGAGGTAATTTTTTTTTTAATATGTTTATAATGAAGAGAGAAATAAATCTATATACATATTGCATATTTTTTAGTGATTTACAATGAGATTTTATAATATTTATTACAAAATTCTAATAACAGTTTTTAACACTTTATCTAAACACAATTTAGATTTTATTCGCAATCTAAATTATAATTTATTTACGTATCCAACTACCGGTTCAAATCACAATTCAAATCACCATAATTCAAACTAAGGCCTCGTTCATTTCACCGATTCGAGTTTTCAGTTCCTAATTTTTACAGTTAAAAGCTCTCTGAAAATGTCACATCTAACTTTTTCTGCTACAGTTAAAAACTCTCTGAAAATGTCACGTCTAACTTTTTTTACTACAATTAAAAATTCTCAGAAAATGTCACATCTCAACTTGAATTGAAAATTTAAATCTGCGAAGTGAACTAGGCCTAAATCTTACAAATCTGAACAACGAACCAAGCCTTTATTTATTTAGATTTCACCACTCCAATAGTTTCCAATCATCTTCGAGAAAAGTGGGATGCATTCATTAAATTTAAGAAACAGAAATAAATAATAGTTCTGAATTTTCCGTTACAGATTTTTTTTTTTTTTTTTTGAGCAATCCGTTACAGATTCTTTGTGAACACTGTTTTTGTTTTTTCTTGCTAGCAACTAGCAAGCATTTAATTTTTAGTTTTTGCCTACGTTACAAAATTTCGACTTTAATTCTTTGAAAAAAATCAAATTCATAAAATAGTGACTATAAATGAGGATAGTATAATATCGGACAGGGTAGTTTGTGTTACGCATAATATGTAATAAATAATATAATGGAAATTAGACGAACAAAAACAGATGATTGCAGAACAAAAATCCAGATGAACAAATGTCTTGATGAGGACAAGCAGAGACGAGTAGTAGACGCACAGGAGAAAGCCTATATGCTTATAATTTTATCCATAAACAACCAGAGGATCACATTTAAACATCAAGGGCCTTAATTTTCTTAATTTTCTCGACTCTACATGTGCACTTTGAGTGTCAATTTCCCATTTACTCGTGCATTATTTTGAGCATATGAATATATCATATTAATTTTCTCATGAAAGAGAACAAAAATCCCTCTTGACCTGTCATCAGTATAAAATAGATCTCACTCAAATCATGCCTCAAAATATGGGACCAAGCCATTTTCCAACAGGCGCATGCTCCATCTTCATCATATGCGGAGGATTTCAATGCCGGTAGGGAATACTAGTAAATTAAACACTTATTATAGTCCATACAAGTAAATAAAATTTTATTATAATCGATATGTTTTTTAGACATCCTAGCAAAATTTAAAGATATAGCAAAAATATATATATTTATATATATAACGCTGGTCAGGGACTTGGAGGGTTCTAATTTGATGAAGTTCTTGGTGTTGATTAGAGGAAAGAGGCACTGATTTCAATCCGACAGCCCACAATTATTGAGCAGACCGGTCAGGCAGATGATTTCATGTGCCGGATGAGAAACATTTCCTATATATATATATATATTACAAATCACAAAAATTTATCACTAAAATAACCACTACACCAGTTTAGAGTATAAACATGAAATCATTAAAATAATTGTCATGTAATTTTTGCTATTCCTAATATTTTTTTTGAAAAAAAAAAAAGATATATTTTAACTCTACTCTCGTAAATTTACTATGTAGTATTAGTCTTACTATAAGTTTTGAGATGTTAAGTTGTGGAGCCTAATTATACCTTACCGACTTAATGTTAAGTTGTGGAGCCTAATTATACCGACTTATTGCCTTACACAGAGGATTCTAAATATTCACGTTCATATTAATATGGGATTACATAGAGTTAGGACGTCTAATTATTAACATGAGGTTGTCCAACAGATTTTACATCTTTATATTAACAGTTAGTTGGAAAATCTATTCCAACATATTCTATGAATATCTTTCGGTCTGTCAAAATTTACTATGTCCCGAAGCGAGATTTTGATGGGGCAGAAATGGAGGAACAACAAAGGTTCGTTGGGCTTTAAATTGATAGGGAGGAATGGAATTCAGATTTTGATTGCTTCTAATCTTTAGCGCTGCTCGTCAAACAAGGGTGGAGAGCACCGCAAAGGCCAAGTTCCTTCACAAGTGAGCTTTCAGTGAGTTGACTTGTTGGATGTAAAATAAAGAATGAGATTCATTTTTTGAGTTGACACTTGATATTATGCCATTTACAAGGTTTAAACTAGGTATAAAATATAATTAAAAACAATTAAAGTGGCTAATTTAGGAAAGAAATTATTTTGTAAACATTGGACTTTATAATTGTATCATGCCTAGTAAGATGAAAGGTTTTAACACTTTCCACACCAAATTGTGCGCGGTGTTGCAATGATATTGAGTCATTCTGGGACGCCATTGGCCTTTTATGATGCTGCTCAAAATGTTTGGCATTTAACGCCGGTGAGTCACCGGAGCTTTAACGGCAACTTTTTTTGGGGTGTTTTATAGTACCAAGGATTGTTTTGAGGTGTTTTATAGTACAAGCCTGGGTGCTTGTTGGCCTCAACTCTTTAAGAAGAAGTTTTAGGCCTTTCATTTCAACCATGAGATATGGAATATTTAATAGAAGGAAATGACGTTCATGTGATGGGAGAGTGAATATTTATGTTTAGGATATACAACTAACTATACACGCTACTAGGAAAAAAAAATGGCTTTCAACCATGAGACATGGAATATTGAATACATGTAGGTTGTAAAGGAAATGATGTTCATGTGACGGGAGAGTGAATATTTGTGTATGATATACAACTATATACGCTACCAGAAAAAATGTTTTGTTTTGGGGTTCTGAACTAAAAAGTTAGGATTAAGAATCCAACAAGTGGTATACATCAAGAATCCAGCTTTGATATTACTTGTTGCTCAAAAGATTATTAATCAAGTTAAAATATATATATATATATATATTAATCAAGAATGAAGAATAAAAGTTGAAATTCATACATTCTCAACAATTTTCTCTTTGACTAAATTTTAAGAGCAGCCCAAACCTTTTTATACTCTTCCCCAATTCCATATCTAGCTAATGTGAGACTTTGTGAGCGCATTCCCTTTCAAACCCTTTTAAACTGGAAAGTATTGTTTTCTGAATTTTCTATTTTTGATGATTTTGTTTTTTAAAAAATTGTTCCCAAAAAACATTAGCCAAACACGTTTTTGTATTTAAATTGCGTGGCCAAATAGACCCAATTATGCTAGGTGAGAAGATCCAATCTCCATTTCTTCTTCTTCTTCTTTTTTATTTTTTATAATACAATACTCTGTTCTTTTTGGACTTTCTGGGTTACAGTGCATACAAAGAGTTAGGTTTCTTTCATCGATGCTTAATTCTTATTCTTAATTGAGGCATGATTCAATTGAAAAAACAGCAAGAACATTAAACTCTTTTTTTTTTTTTGTTGGGAAAGATAAAAACTTGAAATAATTGAAAAAACCAAAGTAGTTTTGTCTAACGCAAATACTCTTTAACTCATCTCTATATCTGTTAATTCAAATCCCAACATCTAAAATTCTATCTCTACCCATAACAAAAGGCAGCAGTTGAACTAAACAAAACCATCATTCTACATTATTTAACAAGCAACCAACTAAAATCACAACAGAAATCTTAAGCCAAATTTCTTTCACAAGAAAAAGATGTAGCAACTATTCCACTATAAATGGATACAATATCTCAATATTTCATGAAAGATGCAACAAAAAAATAAAAATAAAAATAAAAATCCAAACTTGTCCTTACGCTACTTATTTGATGAATGTCTAGAAAACGTATCTTCTTTCCTGTCCTCAGGGCTGAGGCGTCACTGGGGTGTAGAGGTCCACAGAGATCCCAAGAATCAATTAAGAAGAACGCAAATCCAATGCAAAACCTGCTTTCTAAAATCTGGAGAGTTTATTTGCTCTCTATATCATATAGATCCGTTCTGGAATATATCTGTTAAAGGAACAAACATACTAGAGAAGGCAATAAATTGAAAGATGCTTTATATGGGAGTTCAGAGCCCGTTTGTTTTATATACTCAAACTCAAATCAATGATTGTGCTACAGTATTTTCTTCTCATAAAAAATTTGAATTTCAAATGTGAAGAATCATGGTTTAACTATACCTTCTAAACGAGCCGTTAATGGTAAAGAGTGACATATTCTTGATCAGCATTTGATATTAATAACATGCATGATTCCTTAGCATTCATAAGTGAAAAATAATTTGCCTACACTTAGTAAATGGACCTTCCACTTTCTTTGTTCTATTCTTTTCAAAGATTCCTCTAAGAAAAGGAGTACAGTGACTTCAAAGACAGGACATGAGTTCGTCCGAGAAAGACAAGGCAAGGAATCAAGGTTCTCATTATCATTTGTTGAACTAGTGCTTAAACAACAAGCAAAAAGAAAAAAAAAAAAAAAAAAAAAAAAAAAAAAAAAAGTTCACTCCTTACCATTCTTCAAACTAGTGTTTAAATTTAAGCACAAGTCTGTAGCAAAACGTCGTACTAAACCACCATCGATTCCAAGACTAAAAATATAAAACTCAAAAATTCTTTTTTTTCCCCTTTTCTTTTCAATCGAGAAAATAAGTAGAGCACATAAGAGGAGCATAGACAAGTTCACCATAATGTTTGTCGGCCAATATATGTTATCACACAGTTAACATTTCATCAGCAAAACCAATGGTTTGGGGTAAACTCTGTGTTATTGACAAAATGAAGTAGTTAAAAACGGAAGTTGGTTTTAAAAACTGAAAACCAAGGGCTGTTTACAAAGGAGGGTAGCAATTAGAAGATTGAAAATGATAATGCTTAGGACAACAAGATAACAAGGTGTGAAGAGCTTTCTATCAGTTGCACATTAAGCGAACAATTGTCAAAAAAAACCTTTGTCACTAGGACAGTAGTGAAAACAAGTGTCAAAAAACCTTGATGTCAAATGGATAGCGAACTCTTTGACACTTGTTTCCATAATTGTACAAGTGGCGGGAGGTTTTTGACACTTGTTCTCTTGATGTCCTACTAGTAGCAAGCTTTTTAAATCTTGTTATCTTGTTGTCTAGCTGATAGGAAGTTTTTGCCACCTTGTTTTCGTCAACAAGTGTCATTTTAAATCTTGTAATCACTCCTCTTTTTTGCATAAGACCCTTGGTTTTGAGTTTTTAAAACCTTTTTTTTTAACTAAACTTAATAATGTTTGTGGTAATTTTGAACTATACTTCTATTTACACTAATAAAATGTTAAGCATAAAATGTTAAGGGTAAGGTTAATAGAAGTAAACGTGCATGAAAGTAAAGGACCAATTACTGGAGAAAAATTAACAGGACCAACAGGACCAACTAAGTGGAATTAGAAAGGAAAAGAAACAACAGGACCAGGGTTAGTGGGCTGTTAGAGTTTAGTTAGTAGTGTGTTAGTAGTGCTTACAAGAGAGTTAATAGTATAAGGAGGAATTATGGGTTAGAGGGCAGGTCAGATCATTTGGGATTTTGGAAAACACTTTGGAGAGCTGGTGGTCTCTCAAATACCACCATTGTTAAGGTTTAGAATTAGGGTTCTCTGGAGTCCTCAAATACTCCAGTCTATCCTTTATATTTTCTTCGATTTTCTCTGGCTGGTTTTGGCTTGTATGAGCTGGTGTTTAAGTTAATCAATAAAAATCCCTGTTAATCTCTCAATTTCTCTTGTTCTTAGCTTCTGCGTTGTGAATTGTGCTAAGAAAAACCCAGGTTCCTAACAGATTCTTAGGTGAGAGAGTCTATAAATACTAACCTACTTACCCATTTTAGAGGGAGAGATACAGACCAACCTTTAGTAATTCAGCCACTCTCTCATTTCTCTCACTACCCACTCTGTTCTTTCTCTAGATAGTTACCAAAACTCACTTATCCCACATTTCATTACAAACATTTCCTAAACATCAAACCTTTCTTTCTTTTTCAAAACAAGATCAAAAGCTCAATTTGAGAACTATTGGTCCACATACCCCTTACTTCAAAATTGCATTTGTGATATTATGTGCATATTCAAAATACAAAGTCATCTAATAAAATTATTTTCTCGCTTCTATTCCCGTTTCTCTCTTAGTTTGAAATTCTTTATTTCATTTAGCACTTAACTGCATTTTTTTTTTTTTTTTGCTACCTCCAGTATATAACTTGTCCTTAATTTATTTTCAGTTATGTAGATTGTAGGTAATTGAGAAGAATGAATATCAATTCTTATTTCTTGAATCAGTCGGTACACATATATATACAAGTAGGAAAGTTTTGACTAATCTTAGATTGTAACTAAATAAGGAAACAAACCCACTAAACTAGGAAAATATAAAATTAGAATATGGTAAGTAACACCGGATTCTTCTCCTAATTTATACACAAAATATCAGGGATAATTCCTAGGAATCTTCCCTAATTGATTCGGAAATCTCAACATTCCCCCTTAAGCTGAGTTGTAGATGTTGAACAAACACAGCTTGTGATTCAATTCTTCAAAACTTGTTCTTGGAAGAGCTTTCGTGAGTACATCTACCACTTGAGATTGTGTGGGGGTATAGATCAGCTGTATTATTGAGTTATCAATCTTCTCTGAGATGAAATGACGATCAATCTCAATGTGCTTAGTAATGTCATGATGTACCGGATTCTTGGCGATGCATATAGTTTATTGATTGTCACAAAACAGCTTGATAGGTTTTTCACTTGTTATCCCCAACTCCTTGAGTAGTTTGCTTATCCACATTCCTTCACAAATACCAAGGGCCAATGCTCTAAACTCAGCTTCTGCACTGCTCCTTGAGACCACTGGTTGTTTCTTTCTCCTCCATGTGACAAGATTTCCTCAAACATAGGCACAATAACCAATTGTTGATCGCATGTCCTTTACATCTCCCGCCCAGTCTGCATCTGAGTTAATCTCAATATCCTAATTTCCAGTCCTCCTGTAAAGTATACCCTTTCCTGGAGTCATTTTTAGGTACCTCAAGATTCTATACACAGCTTCCATGTGTTCTTCTGTAGGATTGTGCATGAACTGACTCACTACAGGAAAGCCGATGTCAGGTCTTGTGTGAGAGAGGTAGATAAGCCGTCCTACAAGTCTTTAGTATCTCCCCCTATCAACTAGTGCAGAATCTCTTATAGCTGTTATCTTCTTAGTTGGATCCATTGGTGTGTCAAATGGTTTACACTCTAGCATTCCTGTTTCCTTTAGCAGATCCAGGACATACTTTCGTTGAGAGACAAAAATTCCTTGCTTGTATCGAGCTACCTCCATTCCAAGAAAATATCTGAGATTGCCAAGATCTTTGATTTCAAATTCCTTGGCTAGAACTGCTTTCACTCTCAATAATTCCTCCTCATAGTCACCTGTCAGAATGATGTCATCAACATATACAATTAAGACTACTGCTTTGTTTTCTGAGGAGAACTTCACGAACAGTGTGTGATCTGCTTGACATTGAGTGAATCCATATCCCACAACTGACTTTGCAAACCTGTCAAACCATGCACGAGAAGATTGTTTGAGTCCATACAAAGACTTCTTGAGTTTGCACACCTTGCTGCTTTCCACGGTTGATTCCAATCCTAGAGGTATTTCTATGTACACATCTTCTTCAAGATCACCATTCAAAAATGTATTTTTTACATCCAGTTGATGTAGGGGCCAGTCTTTGTTTGCTGCAAGGGAAAAAAGGACTCTGATAGTGTTTAGTTTAGCCACTGGAGCAAATGTTTCCTGATAATCTATTCCATAAGACTGAGTGAACCCTTTAGCAACTAGTCGAGCTTTTAGTCTCTCAATACTTCCATCAGCCTTGTGTTTGATAGTGAAAATCCACTTACATCCGACAGTCTTCTTATCTGGGGGAAGATCGGTTAACACCCATGTGCCATTTTTCTCCAATGCTTGGATTTCTTCATTAATTGCCTTCCTCCATTTTGAGTGTTTGAGAGCCTCTTGAATAGAGTTGGGAACCTGCATACTATCAATAGTAGACACAAAGGCCCTGTATGATGGTGATAGTTTCGCATATGAGACAAATCGGCTAATAAGATGATTCGTGCAAGTTCTGACACCTTTCCTCAAGGCAATTGGAACATCTAAGTTCTCCATAGCAGGTATTGTAACATCTAAATTATCCTTACCTGAGTGAACTTGTGTAGTCATTGAATCCAGATCAGCTTCATGGTCTAGTATGAGAGGCATTGTGTGCTCTATCTCCTTTCCAGACTTCTTCCTCTTGGAGTAAACAATCAACTCTTTGTTATTGTCATCGTTTTGTTGAAGCTGAAGGGGTGGACTAGAACTATTTGGACCGGGACTGTCATGGACACGAGATAGACTCAGTGGACTCGGTGTAGGAGAATGACTCTCAGGAGGATGACTCTCGGATTGATTGGTAGAATCTGAAGGCTGAAATTCAAGATCCCAAAGCTGAAATTCTCTCATGTTCTCCCCCTAAATTACAAGTTTGGAAAAGAATGATTGATGTTTAAAAAATGTCACATCCATTGAGTTGTAGAACCTTTTGGTTGTAGGAGAGTAACACTTATACCCTTTTTGATGTGAGGAGTACCCAAGAAAGACACATTTAATGGATTTAGGATCTAACTTCCCACGATGTTGAGAGTGTATATGAACAAAAGCAGAGCATCCAAATATCTTTGGAGCTAATGATGAGATAAATTTGGTGTGTGGGAAATGTCGAAGAACAACATTGCACAGAGTTTGGAACTTAAGGATTTTGGAGGGCATCCATTGATGAGGTATGTGGCTGTGAGTATGGCTTCTCCCCATAAATATTTTGGAACATGAGTGGTGAACATGAGTGACCGAGCCACCTCTAATAGGTGCATGTTCTTCCTCTCGGCAACCCCATTTTGTTGAGGGGTATCAACACAAGAACTTAAGTGGACAATCCCTTGACTCATGAGA